TATATATATATATATATATAATGCTTTTACCTTTGTTGTTGGTAACTTAAAAATTCACCTTGCAAATGGATTAAAAAGAGCATCTACCCTTAGGCATGGATCATCTACATTTAGAGAGCGACCAACAAACCACTTTATCTTAATTGTGATTACAATTGATAATTTCTCATCAAGAATCCCGAATAAGGCATGTGAAATCAAAATTCGTTATGGTTATAAAATAATTAAACTATGATTTACTCCATGAATTGCCAATCATGTGATATGTTCTATCGAAAATACAATGAAAAATTTTATAGTTTAATGTTTGTATTACCCTTTGATTTATAACAAATATTTAACGAAGACAATTTTTACTATTATATTTGGTTTTTTTATGAGGAATAATCAAATTGAAAACATTATTGTTTTTTATTCATATTTTCAATTGTTATTAGCCAAAATATACAGTGTAATATAGCATGATGGTTCTTTAGAGCACTTTACCTTAAATTTTTTTCTTGAATCTAAGTTGAAAGAAATATATGAACGTCTTTTTGAGTCAATATTCTTGCGTAGATATTTATTTGTGGTCTAATGTTATTCTTTAACTGTATTTTATACTAAATAAATTGTGCAGGCAAGAGTGCTATTGGCTGTCTTTTATCATTTCTAAACAAATCAAAACTCGCTATTTATAATTTTTTTCCCTACTTAGGAATTCTACAATTACTCATATTGAAACATTCATTCTTTCATAAGCATGAACTGTTATTCCCATCCAGACACTTACCCATGCTACTGATGATTTGGCACTTTTTTTAAGTTGCTTTAATTTTATTTGTTTTGGTGCAGCCTGATTATCTTTATTTTGGAAAGTGTCTGTTATACCTTGTTTATATATGGAACTACAAGATTCATGATTTCCATTTCATTTTTTTGACCATCTCGGATTTAACATAGAATTTATCCATTGTTTTTTCAGCTTAACATGTTTTCCTCATACAGATTGTGGAGTTCATCTCTGTTTTGTTGACAATTGGTAATGAAGCTGCGGAGGAGGAGTTGATTCATCTAGGGGCTATAAGAAAAGTTTTGGATTTATTTTTTGAGTAAGTTGCTCGACTATTTTCTACTCGTGGAAGGGTATTGAAGTAGGAGAAGGTTGATCATTAGTTAGTTTTTCTTTTTTAATTTATTTTTGTTTTCATTTTGTCTCATTTAGGTATCCTTACAATAACTTTTTACATCACCAAGTGGATAATATTATTGGATCATGCTTAGAGAGCAAAAGAACTTTACTGGTAGACCATATTCTCAGGGACTGTGACATTGTGGCTAAAATTCTTGAAGCAGAAAAGCAGCCTATTCTGCCAGCAGATTCTAATAAGGTAGTTTCCATTTGATTTTTTCTGTACCCCGTGAAATAAACATTACCATAAAATTTATAACTAGTTATTGTCCTTGTATTGACAATTCTTTTGTTGAAGCCAACTCTAGCGGCAGAGGGACGACCACCTCCAAGAGTAGGCAATATTGGGCATTTGTCACGGATGGCTAACAAGCTTGAACAGGCAGCAAACTCTAGTGTTATAATACAGACGCATCTGCAGGTTAGCCTCCATATCCAGCCCATTGTTTGGCATCTAGTCATTTTTTAGTGGCTTTAGTTAACCTTGAATTGAATGCCTAAGAGCGGCATTGCTAGTTGAGACTTTTGTATACAAACTACTGTACTATGTCAAGTATAAATTTCTTTATGTTTTGTTATTTCTCTTGAATCTAGTCATTCTGAAAAAATATTTTAAACGCTCATCTGTTTTTGTATATTATGTTTTCAATTTAATCAAGATTTTGTACTCGTATCTGTGTAGGAGTATAGTGTGGCAGTTTTGCCACATTGTACAGCCTCAATTCTTCAATCAAAATTTCATGTTTTATGTTTCCTTATTTTACTTATCTATCAAATGCCTTTGTAAACTAGTGAGAAGATGTGGATCTTGTGGAGGATTGTTGGCTACTTTTTCTTATTTACTAGCATTTCCTGACTTATGGTTAACTTGATTTCATAAACTCAATATTCTTCAGGAAAACAGTGAATGGATTAATTGGCACACCAATGTCCTAGTCAAGCGCAATGCCATTGAAAATGTTTACAACTGGGCTTGTGGGTATGACTTCAATTTTTTTCTTTACTGCCGCACTGATTGGACCATTGTATATTTTAGTGATTTTTATTTATGTCTGAAGCCTAAAAATATTTATTTCTTTTATTATGAATATAAACATTGAGCTGTTTCCTTCTGTTTTGCATGACAATGGACCTACATGTTTTCTGACAAAATTCAAGATTTGGTTTTGCTTAATATTCCAAACAATTTTTTTTTTATGGTCTTTTTTATTATGTTAGACCTTTGGAGTATGTACATACTTTGTTGTCATTCTGGACTTTTAGCAGCTATGTACAGAAATCTGGACTTGTTTTTTTGTACTCCAATTGTATATATTGATTGTTTTAACGACAAAGTCCCTAGACTGAAAGCTTTTGTTTAGGTGCATTTCAACATTAGCAATTTGATTTTTAGTATGCTAATCTCTTAAGACTTCTTATTGTTGGGGATTACATGCATAGTTGTGCTATGCCTGCTTTGTCGACATTCAAGTGAATACTCCTTCTTTCCCGGAGATATATTTTTTAATGAAAAGTTAGTGATCAAGAATATTGTAGGGTAAGAAGCGTTTTATTTAGTACCATTTGGAGTTTGTACATGAAATAAATTGATCCTAGTTTTCTTTGGTTTGTGGATTTTTGCCATCTTTAGAACTTGTGCATGTATGGACAAATCATGTTGGTGTTTGCTTATAGTAAATTGAAACATGGTTGGCTTCCGTGAATTTAATTTATGATGTTATCTAATTTTTATGCTAGCCTGTATTCAATAAATGTGCATGTATTTTCTAAGAGCCTGAGATTATTTGAGAAATAAAGAGTTCTGCTTTCTCCACCTCTTTATCCTCTTGCCCTTTACAAATGCACACTTAACAAAGAAGAAACTTTGTTGCAGGATCTATCTGCAACCTCTTCATTTTTTTCTCCATGTGTCTTCATTAACTTGTGCTGTCTGCAAATTTGATCATTTATGTTAATTTTGTGTTATTGTTAACATAATTTTTATGCTTAAAACATGCCTTGAATATCTTGACTTGAGACCATAATAGAAAATAGGAGTTGAGCAACGTGATCTTGCTTTGATGACTTCACAAATGTTGCATGTTATTGAAGTTGAATTCTGCAATAGTTATTGTCGCGTGATATGGATTGTGGTACTGTAGCCACTATAGTACCGCGGGGTCCCCCTCTTCCTATTTTGATCCCTTGCCTAATTCTATTTCCTTCATATTCTAACTCATTCGTGGTCTAACTACTAGTACTTATTATAAATATATGTTGCTTGTTGTCTTAGGGTTCAGCTTTTGATTGATTCTAGATTTCTGAATTTTGTCCAAGTCAACCGTCGGGGTTGTTTTCCCTTCTAGGGTTGTATCTGATGACGACTGATACTTCGGTTGTATCTCGTTCGAGGTGGTGGTCTTCTCCAAGGGTTCACGCAGTGCTCCGACTGTAGCTCGATCCCGCAGGGATACTTATCCCATTCAACTCTTCCGAAGCCCCTTTCCAGCCATCCCCGCACTGCTGCAGCCCTCCCTAGGCTGTCCAGCAGCCCAATACCCTTTCTTTCATTGTTTCCTGCACCATCTTTGCTGCAGCCACCCGACAAACACCCTCCTCACTGTTTTCCTTCTGCCGGCTACCATCTAGCTCCCTCCCATCTTGCTGCCATCCCTCGTCGTTGCCTTCCAGCAACCAACCAAACCCTTTCCTGCCACATCTGCTGTCCCAGCCTCGCAGAATCCCTTCCCCTGCATCCTAGCTGCTGTTCCAACGTTACTGAACCAGCTCCCTACCATCTAATCGCTGGCTCAGCCCACACAACCCCACACCACAGTTCCCAGCCCCCAACCTTCTTCCTGCAGCCGGCCAACACTCCCCTTCCCTTCCTGGTCGCACCCAAGGCCAACTCACAACCTCTTTCACTGGTCACCACTCTTGGGAACCATTTTAATTGAGTTTTATAGTGTTGTGTGTCTGTTGTTGTTTTTCTCCTTCATTGTGATCTTATAACTGCTTACTTGCTTCAAATAATAAAATTTCTTTTTCCATTGTGGTTAGGTTTAACTCCGGTATCAGTTCTATTCATTGAATGATGTATATTCCTCAAACAAATCTAATCATAAGTTTGATTTCCCGATTCATGTGCATCACATTAGCATGTATGGAATATTTTTTTTTTCTTTTTATATAAGACATATTAGTATTCCGTTAGCATTTGCATAAATTGATATATCCAAAAAAAAAACCACTATCATTATTATTATTTTATTATTTTTGGGGAGGGGTGGGTGTGCTTCGTTTGGATGAAGCAATGTTAAAATGTCCGCTTCATTTTTTTTTAAAAGATTTGGCTATTCTATTCATTCTAGTTTACTTTCTCGATAAGTGTATTTTTTTCCTTAACACTTTTGATGTCTTTCTATCATTTTGATTCTTATAATGAGTGTTTCTGTTGCTTGGGAATCATGTTGATTCTTTCTTTTTTTACGGTCATGTCATTGTATTGTTATCAGTAATCTTATTTTCTTGATATGTTTGAAAAGGCGCCCAACTTCATTACAAGATCGAGCTAGGGATAGTGATGATGAAGACTTCCGAGACAGAGATTATGATGTTGCTGCATTGGCTAGCAATTTGAGCCAGGCTTTTCGATACAACATATATGGAACCGATGATATTGAGGAGGTATTGTCTACGGAAGTTTCAATGATTTTTAATCTTCCTTTTCTTTCATTCGTTTAATTTATTACCATTCATTTGGTCATGCCAATGCATGGCTTTTGTTAACTGCTTCCAAATATTTTATCTTATAACTGATTTATGACCATTCATTTGGCCATGCCAATGCATAGCTTTTCTTTCATGCTTTGATTTTTTTGTTCATTTTTGTTTTGTTTGAACATTACAAACTTAGGTTTTGCTAATAAAGTCATTGCTTCCTTTAATGTACTCAATATATCAAATTTGGGACATTAGTAGGCTAGGTTTTTTGTATTTTGTTTTTTTTTTCAATGGTGCTTATTTTCTTTTCTAGCTTTGATTACCCTCTTTGATTGGGTACGTTGTAAAATAGGTCTGTGTTTACAGCATTCTTCTGTTTTGTTGCTACCTTGTGCGGTTTATGAGACTTGAATTTCAAAGTTCTCTGAAAAATATTGGGCTACAGGAAGCCATATTTTGGTAAGATTATTTGGTCATTTTGCTGAGATTCTATTGGTTATGATTTATATGCGGGGGATTAAATGAAGGGATCTTGTGGATTTTAAAAAATGTATGGGCCGTTGTGTAAGTCGGTTCACATTTGTAAGATAACATGTGCAATTTAGGTTAAATCTCAAAATGGTTCCCCAGACATTCATATGTGCAACGTAGGGACCTTTATGTAAATCAGTTCAAAATAGTAAGATAATATGCACAATTTGGGTTAATCTCTAAATGCTCTCAACTTTTCATATGTGGCCAATTTAGTCCTAGCAGACAAAATTGATCTGGTCCACTGGGGACTAAAGTGGAATCAGTTCATATGTGGCCAATTTAGTCCTGCTATACAAAATTGATCCAAAATGGTCCATTGAGGACTAAAGTGTAATCAGTTTTGTATAGTTGAGGGACTAAATTGGTATCAGTTCTGTGTAACAATTTCTACATGAGGAGTTATTTTGGATTAATTTTCATTCAGTCAGTGGACTAAATTGGAGAAAGATGGCATACTGCGACTAAATTAGCTAATGTAGGGACCATTTTGATTTATAAAGCTTTCTGCAACATGATAATTAAAGCCAAGCAGCGCAGCACTGGAGATCCAGGTTTCATAAAATTCTGTTTCTTGCTTCGCTTCTGTACATACTTGCTAGTTATTTTGCCCAGCAATAGATCGGAATAACAGGTCTATTTGCTCATTAGAACTAATTATATTCAAAGGAAGTTTGAAGTAGCTAGAAGTTTAGCAAATGCAGGTCACCCCATACTTGGTTGCAGCTTTTCACTCTTCACATTCAAAATATTTGGTATTTAATATTTTGAAATTTACTATTTAGATTTATAAAGCTTTCTGCAACATGGAATTTGCCATTTGGATCTTATAGTAGCCAAGAATCAATATTTTATGTTTAATTCTCATTTTTAATTCATTGTGAGCGAGAGACGTTGCTTTCTTGTCGGCAGAAATAGTACCATATGCAAAATTAGCGTAATTGGATATAGAATTATTTTCCACTGTTTCATATTTGGTGGTCTGAAATATAGGTCAAATGTGGGGATTTTTATTAGGCATGTTAGCTTGCCTTTACACAATCATCTTGAATTTTGAGTTTTGATCCTTATCTGGGGATGAATTTCTTTTTGGTGCTGGTGACAATCAGCAATCATTTTGTCTGTGATTGCATCCTGTTATCCTATTGCTTTTTATAAATTTTGGAATATTTTACATCTTTAAATGCTCTTTCGACTTACATCTCATCGTCATTTTCTGGTTAGCTATTTTTTTATGTAGTTTTAAGTTTAAGAAATAGCTTAGCTAATTATTATATTATTATTTTATGTTTGCCTAAAATGTTCTTTGCTTGGTTGCATGATTTATTGTACTACTGCTCATTAAAATGCATTATAGTGTAGTTGATCATTTATCTGTTGCGATAACATTGTGCAGCCGTGCATATTTAATGGTTCGTGCAGCCTTTCTTACTGTATGACAACCTTCAGCTACTATTCCTATTTACAATTACGATGCCTTTTTTTTTTCTTGGAAATTAGTAATGCCTACCATATTAATTTCATCATTATCATTTATCAAATTCAATTCTCCTGCTTGACACTATTACGGTTTTCTTCTAATGACGGTCCTCCTGTTTAAAGAAGCGATGCTTGTAAAGTTCATGTTTTTTTGGCAAATTGAATTTCTGCTGTTTCAAACTAATTTTTGCTAGGTTCATGTTTTAGATTTTGTGCCATTTTTTTGATATACATTTTTGTGGATTTGGCGTAGCAAAAACTAGATGCACACATTGAATACTTTGATCGAGTAGCCCATAATACTTATTTTGGATCACTTTTTCTTATTTTTTTCTTATTTATATTCAAATGCATGAGCATTTGAGCCTTTTATGTATATACATAGCACACTATAAAAAAAGTAATGAGGCATTTATATGCATAGCACACAATTCTTATGTATTTACATACCTCACGCCTATTCGTTTATGTTTACACAAATAGCTTTCATATCTTTAATATGCATAAAAAAGATCACTATTGCCACTTTTTAAAAGTGAAATATATCTTTCATGCATAGGTTTAAAACACCAATTGTAACTATGAAAGTTAGGTGTGAGATATATGAATACATAAGAGTCACATGCTACGTATGTAAATTTCCCAAAATTGAATTGTATTCACGAGACGGATTTTACTATATTTTTAGTTTGAGTTTCTAATGTTGATTCATTATCATCTGATTACTTTTAGGCATAAATATGGAGGTGAATGTTATCTTCAGTGAATTGTGATTAGAACTGATATTTTTTCGTGCAGAGGTTTAAAACACCAAAGTGATGTAAATATGAAGTTTAGGTGTGAGATATGTGAATACATAATACTCGTGTGTTACATATGTAAATTTCTCAAAATTATATTGTATTCACGAGAAGGATTTTGCCATATTTTAAGTTTGAGTCTCATATAGCGATTTATCCCAGTATTATCATCTGATTACGTTTAGGCATAGTGAATATGGATGTGAATGTTATCATTATTGACTTTTCAGATTTGTGTTTGTTGCTCACCATCTTTTCTTTCAACCCCACCTCATGTACAAATCGCTAGGCTCTTTTGTCAATTATTCATTAATTGCTGATATTTTGTGGCAACGCATTTTGGTCTATTTGCCCTGCTTCAATCTGTTGACTAAATGCATTTTATTTATCTGTGCAGGCTCATGGATCAGTTGAACGTGATGACGAGGTGTGTTTCTTGCGGTTTTTTTGCCATCATTACATGATATATTTATCTATTTTCAAAGAGTGACTAAGCGGTTCAATATACATTTAGTTAGATTTACGCGACGTCTTTCAGGAACTAGAATCAGTGACTGAATGATGATCTTCCTCTCTTGTATAGACACAGTTATTTACTATTTGGGAACTTTACACGCATACCTCACAATTCTTATGTATTTAAATATCGAACATCGAAAGTTTGATATTCATGTAAGATGTTGGATATGTAAATAGATAAGAATTGTGTGGTATGCATGTAAATACTTTTTAATCTAGCTGACTGACTGGTAAAATTTCAAATTTATTTAAGCTACAGGACGTTTACTTCGACGATGAATCTGCCGAAGTTGTAATTTCATCCCTGCGTTTGGGGGATGATCAGGATAGGTACTATCTGCTTGCTATTTTCATTCCACTACCTTAATTATGAACTTCTTTTTCCGTTCCTTTTCTTCAGTAGAACTAGCATTACAAACAACCAGTAATATCTGTTGTCCTGACTTTATTTCTTACAAAACAAAAAATTTGTATTTACAGCGGTTCATTGTTCACAAACTCAAACTGGTTTGCTTTTGAGGAGGATAAAGCTGTTAGCGATCCATCTAGTGCTTCCATTGCCTCTCCATCTCCTAATTCTGAGGACACTGACGAGGTTGTGGTTGGTGAAAGCTTAAACCCAATTGACAGAACACTCAACAGAAAGTTTCCAGAACCTGGAACTGTTTTCTTAGGCAATGGCCCTATTGATGAATCCATGGAAGATGCTGGTCATTCGAGCCCCACAAAAGAAAACGATAAATCGCCTGAATGGGTTGAATGGAGGGAGATGACCGACCCTAGCGATCTCTGCTGTACGAACTCGACTCCTAATGTCCCAAATGGCGATATTGAAGCGAAAAAGGTTAATGAAAAAGATGATCATAACTTGAGTGTTGATGAAGGCATGCCTTCATTAGCACAAAATGATATAACCAACCAGGAAGCAGAGAGATCGGCTGGCCCTGCTTCTAAAGCCCCTCCTGTATTAGCCGAGGCTAATCTAGAGCACGAGAATCCGATCGAGGAGGATAAGCTGACTTAGGCATTTCTGATTTTAGCGGGCTGCTCGACACATGAATGGGGCAACAGCTGATACAGTAAATTAAACTAACGCGCGGCAGATTTGTTATCGTAGAACCCTTTGTACATCAGGAAGTTCCATTCTAGGCGGTGGACTTTATATGCTTAATTTGTACCTGTACAAAATTATAGCTCTCTGACATCCAATTATATCTGCCAGCATCTCTCATACTAAGGCCCATCCAATGCCGCCCCTATTAAAACCTGCTTTGGTTCCGTAACGTTATTCTCTGATATCAGCGGTCTAGGTTTATGTATTTTCTTTGTTATGCTTTGTCCTTTGGAATGTCAAATAACTTTTGTAATTCTTTTCGCTATCAATTCCGTCAGACATTAATATTTGTTGTAATTGTTCCCAGTGTTATTGTTTTAACTTTTGAGGTTTGATCACCAGGTGTGAGACGGTATGCGGTTATTTGCCTTGCTTTTTTTAATTTGTTAGGATGTTAGTTTCTGGAACTAGTGCTTAGCAGGAGGGATGCCAAAAATTGAACCAACAGATGACAGAATTAGCCAAAAATACAATAGATAGGCTGTTTGTTGATGGTTGTCTCCAGAGATTTAGAAATTATTTCAATTTCTTCTATGCACTATTTTAAATGATTTTAATGTCATTGGAATTTACATGATGAAAATCATTTAAAAAATTTTGTAGGCCATTCATTTTTTAAATTGATTTTTTTTAAGTTATTTTTTTCATTTAGCCTTTTTTGAGTGTTTTGAAGTTTGAAATTCACATACCATTTCAAGTTTGATCGCATTTAACCAACAATCCTCTTTAAATGCAAGATGAAAATGCGCATCTCACTCAACCCTTCTTTGCTTCCCAAAATGCTCCTCAATGCATGATTTTCTCAAAATAAATAAAGCTAATAAATTTTCAAGTGAGAAATTGTGATTTTTTTGTTTTTATACTTTACAACTTTAGATGGTTTTTTCAATTTATTTATTGTTTGATGTTTACGAGCTGAGCTTGTGCGAGTTCAGACATGGCTTGTGTTCAGCTCGTTCTAAATTACTTGTGTTCAAAATTAGGTAGTGTTTGAAATTGACTCGTAAACAATGTGTTCGTGTTCGACTTGATTTAAACATTCTTGTTCGTGTTCGGCTTGTTAAAATTAATTAGAAAAAAATAGATGTTGAGTATTTGATTTGAATCATAATAAAATGTATGCAAAAGAAGCCACATAATTGCATTACCACATGAGTTATTACGATTTAAACTTCTTCGATATAAATATAAATAATATATTATTATATAAAGAATCATATGATTTTTTTTTTAATTTTTAGCAAAAACAAGTCGAATACAAGCAAATAAAGAGCTGTTCGTATTCAACTCGTTTACTTAAAGAACAAACCGAACACAAACTGTTCACAAAAAAATGATTTTTTTTAATAGCCCTAGATGTAAATAATTAAATACTCAATGCGAACATCCACATAGACTTTAACATTTATTTAGCAGTTTGTAAGTTTAGTCGTAGGATTGTTATAGAAAAAAAATTGATTGAAAGTTGTTGCGGTCATAACAACTTTTAACAAAAATAGGCACCTTTTTATGACCATTATTTATCACACTATAGCAATTTTAATCGTAAAAAACCTATTTCTCATTAGATAAATTTGTAAAAAGTAAAAAAGAAAGTTATAGCAAAATAAAATTGTGGCAATTATCTAGAAAATAAAGCTGTAAAAATAGTAGAGCAAATAAATAAATAGGATCCTTTTGGAGATTTTGTTGCATGCAAAAATAATTTTAGAGTTTTGAAAAAATAAAGGGGCATTTACACACATATCACCCAATAATTAGGTATTTACACATCTAACACCTAACCTCTCTTTTCTACTCAAATCTTTTATAAAAAAATATTACTATTTTAAATTAAAAAAAAATTAAAAAATACAAAGACAATTTTATCAAAATAAAGATGGGAGCTATCTTGAAAGCAAAACTAACAAATGAAAATCTAAAGCTTGTTTCGAATTAAGTTTTGTTTTTAAAAATTTGTTTGATATGTGAGTTTCTTAAATTATTTTATTTTGAATAAAAATCAAAATATTTTTAAAAATAGTCCAGACAAAATTTAGTTAAAGATAAAATACAATTGAAGCTAAATAGTGATTTTTCTTATGGGCATGAAAGATTTGGGTGTCAAAAATATAAAAAGCAAAATTTAGGGGTTAGATATGTAAATATATAGGAATTGGCTGATAAGTATATAAATGCCTGTATTATATCAATATAAAAAATAAAATAAAATCCGCCGAAATCGCATGCAAGGGTGGAAACTCTGCCTATAAATAGGGGGGCGGTTCCTTCGTATCCTGAAAGATGAAAGAGGAAAATACAAAATCAGAAATCAGAGTTACTGAACCGGCGCTCGTCGTTTTTTCGCTCTCTGTTTTCTTCATTCTCTGCAAATTTTTGCACTCTCTGATCCCAATCTTCCATCGATAATGGCGAGATTGTCTCAGCCGTACTCAATGGACGCTTCCCTTAACCCGTCATTCTCGCTACCTCCGGGTCACAGCGGCAGAGGAGCCGGAAAAAACCCGGCGATAGAGTCGGTCGAGCAGCTAATACAAGACATTTCTAACCCCGCGCTAAGGGAGAACGCACTGCTCCAACTATCCAAGGTTTTTATAATTTTCTTACTTAGATTGTTCGTTTCTGGATTTTAGAATCGAAGGAAAGATTGTGTTTTGTAAATAATCTGGAAAAGAGAAATTTGACCATGTATGCTTCGTAATGCTTGATAATGGAGAAATATGGCCATTGACTTTTTTATTCTTTAAGAGAAATGATCAAAAGTTTTTTTCTAACCAAAATACTCTCATTTTATTGAGGATTAGTTCAAATCTTATTCAAACTTTATTCGAACAGGGGTGGAATGTGGTTCAAATACTATTTGAATAGGATTCGAATAGGGTTCAGATATGATTCAAGGCTGGTTTGAATAGGGTTCCAATATTTGGTTGAGTATGATTTAAAGAAGATAAAAACATTGTTCAAAGTTGTTCTGGACAGGTTTTACTTGTAGTGGATACAACTAAGGGACAAAAGTAAACCCCATAACTCTAACATTATATCTTACAAGGTTGATATATTAGAGTGCAGCTACAACAAGTGTAACAGAACATGTTATGAATTAGACATAATAGTGTAATCTAAAATATATAACATAACAAAGAATAATTTAGTAGTCATGATATAACAGAACTATAAGACAATAAGTATGTACATTCAAGATAAATAATTTATGTTAGGTTAATCAAACAATGGATTGGCAAAATTTTTTTTTTTAGTGGACTTATGAATCCACATTATTGTTAGATAAAATTGAAATTAGATGGTCTCTGGAGTATATCAGATATAATTTCTAGAAGTTATTTTTTTTAGCCAGAAATATAATGTATTGTATCCTATATACTCTATAGATGTTGCTGCAAAGAGTTAAAATACTTATCAGACTATATGTACGAGCACAATCTAAATTCCTTTACGTTTTTGTTTAAAATTAAAGACATGTTATCTTATCATAGATATGAGAACTTTATTTTTGCTGGCACTCTTCTACTTTCGAAAGAGATTTGGATGAGAAAACTTCATACTTATTATTGAATAATCCTGTTATCTCATGCAGTTTAAGGAAACCCTTACGAAAAAAACTTATTGTTGCCTATGATGTCTACATCGGAGTGCAAGAGAAGTTAGCATTATATTACGATCTTCACGAACAATGAGATCTCACATATAATTCAATAAATTTTATTTCACTTTATTAGAAAATATATAACTTTTTCTTTTCAACAATGTCATATGTAAGGGCTTTTTCAAGCATGAACTAGTATTTCTCTTTTACTTGTATGAAAAAATTATTGCTCTACAATACTAATCAAATAACTTCTCATCACAATGTTGTCTCGTTCATACATATTTGGATATTTTTTAATACCTTTGTAGGGCTCCAAGAATGTGTGAAAGAACAAAAGAAAGGGATAGGTATGTTGTAGGATGGGTAAAGAATACAAGTGAAGTGATGGAGGCAGGCAAGAAGCTGACGGTGGAAAGCAATAGGTTATTCTGCTGAAAATAGTATTTTTTACTGTCAAATTACAGTAGCAACAAGTTCAATAACAAATGAGGACTTTTAATATTAGGGAACACCATCTCCATTCTATTAGGTTAGGTACACCATTTGAAAGAAATTCAATGATACAACACTCTGATAGAAAAAATCAAAAGAAAACATCTCCAAATAACATAATACAATCAAAAGTCTGAAAAAAACAGGAACTAGAAGATATAAGTACTCTCATAATAGAAAAAACCTTAATTACCTATATGAAAATATGAATGAAATAAAAAAGAAAAAAATTGCTAAAATTTGAGCATCGGTGCCCCTGTTACGATCTCACAATCACGACATTGTGTGATCTCGCGGAAACGCATATTCTGCGATACCGAGGAATCACGTTAATGACACCCTCATCAATGCTATATTCACTTCTTTAATAGGTAACATTAAAAAAAAAATATTTTTTGCAAAAAATAAGGTTAAAATGAGCATTATCAATTATTCAAGAACTCATCCTATCAATAAACTCACGTTATTACTTAACCACGTTGTGGGGGTATTCAACCATTAAGATCACACTGAGCTTCCACATCGCACTATCATCTCCTTCTCTTTGGAGTTATTCACCAATTTTAACTTCCAACACTTAAAAGTAGATAGGTGTTTTTAATTTGTCAATCTAGCAGAGGAGATCAATGAAGTGCAGATTGATGGGTGTGTGCTGCTTCTTTAATTGATATATAAAATCTTTAGCTAAACACTGTCGATCAACTTTTTGATTTTGAAAATTAAAAATAATTTTGAAATTTAATTTAATATAAGAGGTATATAGTTTGAGTTTTGAAAGTAGTAGTTTTAATTTTTGAAAAATGAGACTAAATGTGTATCATTCGTCTAATAGTTTGCATAATTGTGTCCGATACCGCGAATGCTACACCTTCCCAAAAGATAAATATATACCTCAACGATGGACCCAATCCTGCAAACTAAGAGATTTGTGACATCTGTTTGACCTGTGAACCTTTTATGTGTGACCGACAAGTTCTCATATCTAATATAAAGATTAAATATGATTTATTTTACCTGTGTTCCAAATTCCTTATAGAGGCAACCCCCTATAGTTAATTACATCCCAAATGACGGGGGTCACTTGAGAAAACTCTTGATAATGATTAGAGGTACTAATCTTCAAGAATTCGAGGTTTAGTTTTTCACGGTAGGACGTGGAAGGACAAGTGAGAGTGGCTCAATTAGGAATAATTATTTTTAGGAGTCCAAATGAACAAAAAGGTAGGAGACTTCACGGATCCTGAGGAAAACCTTCAATGACTTCCCAAAATATCCTACTGTGTGATTGCATTTTGAAGATGATGTTATTCAAGTGTTCAATCCAGTCAATTTTATTATTTAAGACTTTCATTGCATAATATACGATTATGTAGATAGCCTGTAGAGATATGAGGGTTTACGTCGTACCGAATGACAACCTCGGACTCCTAAGTCGAGTTAGGACTTATATTGCTCAGCATGACAGTGCAGGGACCTAAAGATAAGTTGAGGATTTTACGCCAGGCTAGACAGATTACCTCAAAGTCTTATGGCTTGTTGTTTAAACTAAAGAAAGATTTGCTGTTGTAGGTTCATTTGCTCTCTCGAAGATATCCTTTTGCAGGTCCTCTTCGTGCTGCTTACGGCGTATACTCCAAGCTCCTCGTCGAAGTAGCAGTCATAAAGTCTAAGGTTCAAAAGGTTTTACCAGGTGCGTTCAAAAGTTTTGGTTTTGTTGTCATTCAAACATTATGGGGGGGGTTAAAGCTGATTAGAGCGACACAGGTTAGAATCTCACGGTTCCCTCGTTTCGGTACCACTATTTTCTTTTGAATTTACTTAGTCTAAACGAGTTGTTAAGCTCATTTAAATCGAGAAAATTTCGTTAATAACCATGGGTTACCACATCCAATGGACTTGTAAATTCAAAAAGATGTGTTATGTTTTTTGTTTTGTTTTGTTGTTTTTGTTTTGTTTTGAAAATGTTGTTTAATTTTGAAAAATGATTTTGTAATTTTCAGTTTTGGTATATGTTTTGTAGGTAAAGTAAATAAATGCAGGTAAGAAAGGTGTTGTAAAGTAAGTAAATGAATACCTGGGTCTTGCTACCGCTGCATGATTAACATAATAAAAACACAAGTAAAAGAAAACTCGTTGTCACATATGGAAGACCAGGACTGGGTGTAAGACATTAGTAAAGGTGAGGGCTCAGAATTGGACTGTATGCTTCCTGAACTTGAACAAGAGCTACCAACCCGACAATCTACAGAGGGCAGTCCCTAATCTGGATCCAAATGACTAACTATAGACTTTTAAAAGTTTTCATAAAAAAAATATTTGATTTTCATGCAAAAGCTATTGTTTAAGTTTTTTATGCAGAGTTCTTTTTAACATGCAAAAAATATTTTGTTTTATTTTTGTAAATATTTTGTAAAGTAGTATAGTCCACAGGCTAATAACTTTAATCGGGCTAGGACTACTAACAACTTAAGAT